GATACGACACTTGATACGAGACTCAATACGACACTTGATACGAGACTCGATACGACACTTGATACGAGACTCGATACAACACTTGATACGAGACTCGATACGAGACTCGATACGACACTTGATACGAGACTCGATACGACACTTGATACGAGACTCGATACGAGACTCGATACGACACTTGATACGAGACTCGATACGACACTTGATACGAGACTCAATACGACACTTGATACGAGACTCGATACGACACTTGATACGAGACTCGATACGACACTGGATACGACACTGGATACGACGCTCGATACAAGACTCGATACGACGCTCGATACGAGACTCGATACGACGTTCGATACGAGACTCGATACGATGCTCAATACGAGACTCAATACGACACTTGATACGAGACTCGATACGACACTTGATACGAGACTCGGCGGTGAGGTGCAGAAGTACCCAACTTTGCCAGCTACAGTCTCTAGAAAAACAAAATCGAACAGGGCCCTTTTACTAGAGCCTGCTGGGTCGGTTTCCCCATTGAAACACAAAAAACAATGCCAACAGGCCGAGGAGGGGTTTGTTTGATGAGAACAGATTCAGATTCAGGGGCGTGGGACTCTGTGATAACATCTGTTTTCACTCATTGCAGCCAAAATCACTCATCTTCTGCCTCCTCGAGAGACGGACATCAGGGAGCTTCACCATGACTACTGTCAGACACAACAGAGGACCCATTTCTCTGCTGTTTCTTTCACTTTTATACTTTGAAACTAATGGCCCAATACCCAAGTCAAAATAAATCAGAATCAGAATCAGCTTTATTGTTGTTGCATAGTTAAGTATAGCGAAATTACGTTCCGTACAACCATCTGAAGGGTAGACGGAAGTGTACCGGGGCTGCGGCTTCTATGAAGCACTGCTCTTATTGCTTAGATAAGAAAAGGGGAGAAAACAGGAGGAGAGAAGGTATTAAAAAACAAAATAATCTCTCACACCGTGTCCTTGGACACAGGGCACTGTGTAAGAGCAAAAAAATTGTCTGCCTTTACAGTCTCATTAGAACAGCTCATGGCAATTCCAAACAGCCGAATTGTGATTATTTACACCAAAGTCAGGTTTACAACTTCTCCAAGATCTATTCCTTCCAACCATCCGTGAACACAACCAGAAGTTCCCCAGTCCTGCCTGCTCAGCTCTGATACAGGTCCACAGATAGTTCGCACAGAGTATGAGTGTTGTCAAGCCCGGCACACACATTCCAGACAGCTTAAACAGCTGCTGGCATTTCCAAATTTGTCAATAATCCAGATTTCCACTGACTCCAAAAAGCAGAGTCCAGTTATCATAAATCTAATTATGTTCTGAGGTAAGAGGGCTCTCCTTCACCCTGTCTCCTTGTGAGAAAATTTGATCAATTGCATTGAGAGACCAGCTGAACAAATCCATAGTTTACAATTTGGAAGGTATGCAAAAAGGGGCTCTGAAAAAGGTTCACAAGACAGAAAGCAATGCAGGGACGGAGAGAGGGAAGAAGAGCGACTGTCTTCGATGAGGGCAAGTCAGAAGAAAAAGGCCCATACTGTTATTGCTGACCACCTTGATTTAGGTAGACTCTAAGCAGGCTCAAACCGGATTGTCGACTTTATTTGTTAAACACATCAGATTTTAGTGGCACAAAGACTTAATAAATTGATGCATCTAAATTTAATTCAGAAACTGCATGAGTTTACGGTTGCGTTACAGATGCAGATGCATTGTGCACACAAACTATTGTGAACTGGAACGAATTGGATGATCTTTACATTCCTAGTAAGTTTGATTAGCTGAGGCAGATATCTTAATTGGGTTGACTTAAAGAAATTGTAGATAAACATACAATGATTATTTTCTTAAAGTTATACTAAAATCCATCCAGTGGTTTTTGGGAAATTTTCTTAACAGACAGTTCTTGCACAGTCTGTTAGAGCTCAAATCGAGTGTCATCAGTCTCTACACCACATTTTAGGTCAGTATCTGTAAATCTAACTGAGAAATAACAGTTCTGGTGTTTTTATTAAGGTCAGCTGGATGTGATGGCAAAAATTATGAGAAATGATGTGCTTCAAAAATAAATCTACATCTGAAAATATTATACAATATATTATTTATTAACATTATTGATTACAATTAGTCTTCCATAATTTTTAACTACCCTGATTACTTCATCCTATTACAGCTAATTAGATTTATAACTGTTTATGACCTTCAGGAGATGATTGTTTCATGAGAAACTTCTGTGTAGAGGCATACTGGTTTCAAATACTTTTAGGTCTAAATTTCAGCTGTTCCAAAACTTTGGTCAAGGCATGCTCATAAGCAGCATCAGGCAATGGCTTTATATATTTTACTTAACACTTGTTTTTTTATTTTTTTTAAAAACCCAAACTTTTCTACTTTTAAATTTGTTGCTGCCATCAAATTACCTTATTTCCCCCTCAAAAAAGTGCAATTTCTTAGTTTAAACAATTTATATGTTTACTATTTTTTATTGTCTAATTATTGAATAATGAGATTTGCAACTAATTCCATGTGTAAAGCCAAGTCTTTGTCTCACTTACACTGGCAATAATTTTAAAGAACATGCATGGTTTGTGACAAGCCACTTGCATTTACTGTTATGTGAAGAAAAATACTTTTAAAAGGGAACTACAGTACGTGAGTGTCATGACATGCATGACTTTCTGGCTGAATTATCAGTGTGAAGCAGGGAGACTAATACAAAGTACTGCTGCTCTTGCACCAGGGGGTAAATTACTGCAGACAGCAGCACTACCTGCAGCTTATTTCCTCCACAGAACGAGCAGCAATCAATGTCTCTGAAAAGTTATTTCAGTCACCTGCAGGGATATTAGGGATTTAGCTAGATGGATGTAGTGATGAAACAATCGTCTTGTGAATCTTCTGTAAACAAAATACTCATTATCAGAAAAAAAACTAAGCTTACACACAAATGGTTAGCTTATGTAATTCAGTTAAAACTAGACGTTGGGCTATTTAATACGGTAAAGGATTTGTGTTGTCCTCAGTAAAACCCAGAGAAAATCAGGAGACATCCCTGTACACACGGGAATAGTTTTTCTAAATAAGTATAAGTTTTTATTGTTTCAGTCTTGTGTCCACACAAACAGTACATTTTAAAATCCAATTAGTATAAAAAAATGGGTTCCAAGGAGAATTTTGAAATGACTGAGTCAATACTGTCCTGCACTTCTGTGGTCTTGTAGTTTAATGTGACACAAAACAGGTTCCACTTCATCCTCAGTCTAAACAACAAACTCAGCTCTTGTTGTTGTACTGTATTTGCCAACTTTGGGTTTACAGTTCAAACTGTACAGTATATTCATACGATATCATACCATATCTTACCATTCCATAACATACCATACCATACCATACCATATCATATCATATCATATCATATCATATCATATCATATCATATCATATCATATCATACCATACCATACCATATCATATCATATTATACCATACCATACCATACCATATCATACCATACCATACCATAACATACCATACCATACCATAACATAACATAACATAACATACCATACCATACCATACCATACCATATCATATCATATCATATCATATCATATCATATCATATCATATCATATCATATCATATCATGCCATATCATATCATACCATATCATGCCATATCATATCATATCATACCATACCATACCCTACCATAACATACCATACCATATCATACCATATCATATCATACCATATCATGCCATATCATATCATACCATATCATACCATATCATGCCATATCATATCATACCATACCATACCATACCATAACATACCATACCATATCATACCATATCATGCCATATCATATCATACCATACCATACCATAACATACCATACCATATCATACCATATCATAACATACCATACCATATCATACCATATCATACCATATCATATCATACCATATCATACCATATCATACCATATCATACCATATCATACCATACCACTTTATTTATAATGCACTTAAAGGAGCAACAATGTGAACCAAAGTGCTGTCAGTTTAATATGCAGTTTGCCTCGTGCTTAGTTTCCTGTTTCTAGTGTACTTTCATGTTTATGTTATTTAGAGAAACACCAAAGGAAGTGATTATTTTGGGAGGGGAAGCATCTAATCTGAAGAGGGACATAGTTTTACCAAACACATAATATAATCTGTGTCGTTTCCTTGAATGAATGCTTCAGTGTAGCTCCTACTATCTTTTTATTAACTTTATGATCATTGATGTTTTTGATAGGAAAAAAATCAACCAACAACAGTGACATGCAAAAGTGCAGACGGACGGAGGGAGGGAAGGAGGGAGGGAGAGAGAGAGAGACAGACAGACAGACACTTTATTAATCCCCGGGGGGAATTTGAGGCATTCAGTAGCATGTTCTAATTATACAGAAGAAAAGACGCATATGCAATAATCCAAAAAGAAGCAGAATATACAAATTTGGAAAAAGACAATATGCACAATATGTGTAGATATAATATAAGTCAATACAATATAAATCTTATGTCCTGTAAAAAATAAACTGGGGTATAGCCTCTCCAGTGTGTCCTGGGCTCGCCTCCAAGTTAGACATGCCCAAAACACCGTACCAGGGAGGCATCCAGGGGATTTTTTTTTTTTTTACCAGATGCTTTATTATTTGGGATAACTAAATAAGAAAACAAGCAAATAAATAAACTGGAGCTTAAAGTGATGTAAGAGTTGTGAAAAACATGCACAAAGTTGTGTTGTGCCCATGAATGTTTTTTTTTTTACTTTAATGGAACAGAATGTGCAGAATAATACTTTCAGTTCTGAGCAGTTTTCTAAATCTGATAGAGTAGTTGGGATCATTATCAGTATTAAACTGACCTGGGAGCAGCAGAATGAAGTTTACTCAACATGATTAATGGAAAATTAAAGCAAAATCACTGGAAAAGCCAGAGAAAGGCCAAATAGAATTAGCTTATGCTAAGCTATCTAAGTTCCCAGTGCCCAAATGAAATCACCCTGAGTGGCTCTCCATCTCCAAGCCATACACCATCAATCACACTCCTGAAGCAGGTAGTCAAACGCTCTCCTTCCATCACTGTGGGCTGCATCTTTGCTTCATCTCCCACATCACTCAGTGAGCCTATGAAACTCTTAGCATCCTTTCTATCCGTGCACTGACTGCACTCCATCTCTGTTTCTCACTCTGTCACCTCGCAGCTCTATCATTCTTGCTCATTAGGCGCTGTGGGATTCGCTGGTTGTTATCTATCTTCATAAGTCAGATTTGTTTTAAATCTCCTCACTCCTCATTTGTTTTAGCCGTGATCCTGCACTACCTCCTTCTTTTATCATAGCCTCATCTCTGCTATATCTGCTGGTTCTTATCCAAGTTACATACTCATT